AGTGAATTTCCATTTAGGGTGAAACAATCCTAGTCTCCCAATTCACTTACCATTTAAATCAATTTCAAAAGTGAGAATCTAAGAGCCAATTCTCCAGTGTTAGCCCACAAGTCAATTCACTTTGCAGTATATTCTGTGAAGCGCTTTGAGATGTCTAGACGTGAAAAAGCGCTATATCAAATGCAAGGATTATTATTATTATTATAAGGAACAATGGAATGTATCTCACTGATCAAAGTAATCTTTAAGTCAGGCTCTTAAAGATTTGAGCCTGACATAGATGGAGCCTCTTGTGACAATATCAGAGACGCTCATAGCAGATGTGTAACTGGCAGCCACAGTTACATTGCTCGAATATATTGGTGGAGTCGAGGGAAAGCAGAGATCCACACACGTGGACACAAATGCAGGCAGAGTTGTGATGAATGTCAGCACCTTGGGACGTCCTCCTGATGTGAAAGGCGCTTTACAAATGTAATTTTGTTGTTGTTGCTAGTAAGAGTTCCAATAACTAACAAGACAAACAACCCTTTTCAATCAATAGAAGTGAAAACGCACAGCAGCCAGACTTAAATATTTGTTTAAAACGTCTGCTGCTTTTTAATACTGCGACTGGTCCAGTATTGTACCAGTATTTGCATTATTGTTCAGTGGGGATGACAAAGCTGCACACAGCTACTCAAACCATCCATGGTATTTTGCTCGCTGGCCTCTCACTGCTATGCTGGTAAGGTTGTTTTACTTATTGAGAAAAGCTGTGGAGGCAGTCAGCTCTTTTCATGTAAAGCAGAATGCTGGTTCAGGAGGCAAGGGAAAATGTAATTAAAGGCAGAATTTCACTGCTGGTATTTATAGGATAGAGCTCCTGATACATAGCCAAAGTGCTACAATACCCACTGCCCGCACTGGCAGCTCTCGCCTGTACTTGGCACCAGTGAAAAGAATTTGCGCCAATGTTTTCTCTACTAATTTTCTCCTGTTCTGTCCTGACGTTTCTTTGACTCTACCTTTTTACCCATGCTTTGTGTCAGCTTGGCTCTACGTTAGCACTTTCACCTCTCTGAATCAGAGACTCGTCGAGACTCGAACTCACATCATCTAAGCTGACACTTCAATGCAGTTCTAGTGGCGCGTTGTATTGTCGGATGTGCCGTCTTTTGCGTGATAAACTTTAAAGATTTTTCCCTTCCAGCTCACAGGTGCTTGAGACACTTGTAGCATCTCAACCAACAACATACGTTCAAACTAACTTCTGTTGTTCAAGGAAAACATTTGAGTTATTAAGACAATGCAAATCAAGAGGGAATTGGCCAAATCTGAAGTTGTGCTGTTAATTGTAATTGAATATGAATTTGCTGTTGTAGCCAATGTTAGACTGCTTGTTAGTCATGTTCAATCTGTCAGCTCCTGATACAATAGGATGTTGAAGCATTGTACGTGGCAGCAAAAAATTGAAGATGAATTGAATGTAAAAGAGAAGGTGACACCAATTGGTTTGGCTCTTGGCTTTTGGTGAGGAACTTCAATCGATTACAGCAACATTTTTCATTGACATCACGTACAATGGCAGCAAAATCACAGGTCTGTTTTTACTTACGATCTCCAGTGCGCACTTCAAAAGTATTTCCTAAATTCCCAATCAGATCAAAACTGAGCTCAAAACTTAATTCATATAAAGTCTGGTTTATAAAAGAAATCAACCTTTATTTTATCAGCAAAGTACAAATATAAGATGCCAATATATTCATCAGAGACTTGGAACGTTTCTACTGTTAAAATGTTTTGCTGGACCCTTTGAGAAATTATTTGTGATTAATTGGGGTTACAAAGATTTGTACAATTTATTCTGTATTACAGTAGGATAGGAGTACTCATCTCATTCTGACGTGATTTCACAAGTTGTATAATAGATCTCCAGGAGCACATTCGGAACTGTGTACAATCACAACATAACATTGTCAAGTCGGAAAATATTTCAGAGGTTAAGCTGGCATAAAATTGAAGAACACTGTAGTCTTTGGAGTATTAAAAAGGCTTTAGTCCCCATTTCACCATGAATTTCTGAATTCACCTAATCTCAACGCTTAATGCAGAGTTAAATTAGTTTTTGTTGTGTTAGCTTACTCCCCCAGTGGACATTAGTGTGTAGAATAAAACTGTGCTTATTTAGTAATCTCATCTGCGAGAGGCCAGAGGTTGAATATGTTGGTAAAAGAATGCACCTAAAGTAGGAACTTTCTTCTGAGAATGGAAATGAAGGCTATATTGGCAATTGAATACTGACCATATTCAATTATTTATCATGCTTATACTCAATCTAAGCTGTGAACTTCACTAAATTCAAAGTTGCAAATATTCAATTCTCCAGTGAATTCAGGTCTTGCCTCTGCTACTACTGGTACCTATAGGGAGAGTAGATGCTTTAGACTAATCCCACTTTCGTTCAGTACTTGTGGTATGATTCGGTGCAGACTAGTTCTGCCCTTCCTGTAACTCCATGCTTTAAGTGAGAAGGTCACATTGAAATACCTTAACTGACACTCTGTGCCTCCAGGCTACTTTCTTTTTCTTTTTCTCAAAGAACCAAGCAGAAATTACTAAAATCTAATTATTTTGCTGTTAATCAAGTGCAGGTTGATTCCTGGAGCAGTCTTATCAGCAGAAAACCACTCAGGGCAGAAAACATTACTCTATAGACGTTTAAGGCTTTATCACAAACAGTTCCTCCAAAAAATTGATTTCCTGAAATGTTATGTTATAAAATTATTGGAAATCAATGTGAGCAGTAAATTGATTCTCCAGTCAACAGGCTTTGAGAATAACTAACGGTGGTTGATTTGTATTACTGCTCCATTGGTAGGATCAGTGACTAAATGCACACAAGCGACACAAAGACTTTCCAGCGTAAACTCTGAATTGCTGGGGTTTTTTTTTACAAACAAAAACTTCACGACGAGCTTTGAATTTTCTCTTTGCAAAATTATTCAACAAAGGCCTTAGCGTACAAAGCAGCATTCTTTTCTAAAATATCAAGAGATAAAAGAAACACAATGCAAACCCTGTAGAATACAATCAACTCCAGATAAACCCATTCCCCCTTGGAGCATAATTCTGATCCAGGTGTAGAATTCTAACATACAAAAAGCATAGCCCGTTGCCTTCCATTATTGATATATAGAATTCCTGATTCAAATGTGGGCACTTAAATACAAGATTTCGATTCAAGCATCAAAGCTATCTGGCTATCCTATTTTAATCCCTAGTGCCCTAACTACGGTTAATCCACTGTCAAATTGCACCTAGAGGCAGCAGTGCAGTTTAGACGCTTAATCAGTTTTGTGTGGAATATACCTTTTTGGTTCAGCATTTTGTGTCTATTTATTCAGATTGAATGGGTGATTGATCACATGGATTGCAGTACAGAAGTTTTTGGTATTTTTACCATGAGTTTATAGAAATCCAGTTGTAAAGTTTCTGGGCCATCTGGTTACTGGTTATCTGGTTAATCGTACATCTAACTGAACAAGATGATTTACAGCAATGTATTTAAATGTTTAGAAAGTTATTTTCACATAAATTCTGCTCACCTTTATTAGACTATTGAGCACCAGGTTGATCGCCTTGCACAGAGTAGGTTTTGTGAAATCTTTACATATTTTATTTTTCTCCCAATCTTTAAAAGCAGTCGCAGTACAATTAGTATTTAATAAACTGCATTGATGGATACTCAACTTGGGGTCACACACGGACTTAGCCAGAAACAAGAAACTTTAAAAATATTAAATCCTTTCACTGGCACTCCTCCAAACATATTAAGGTCTTGCCCTATGGGTAGGTATGTACAATTGGAAAAAGATCACAGTGCCTTAGGTCATATAAATATTAAATACAGTGCATTCAGCTTCTCTGAGGGCAAAAATAAAGGAGGATTATCCGTCTCTTACCAGTAAAAAAATATTTTACTCTAAATTAAAATTACTTTTATGAGGAGTTAACCTTTTCACTGTTATTTGATCCCCAAATTGTTACGTAGATGCAAATTGTCTTTGACAGGAAATTGCTCTTAAGTAGACTAACGTTTCTGGAAGTTGATACCACGCAAAATTATAAACTTTTTTTTTAAAAAAGTACAAAATGAAAAACTGCGTGAGCTGACAATGCTCTTTTTATATTTCTTTCCAACGCCAAAATAACCTTTTCAAAATATGCAATAAAAGTTATTTAAGAATATACACGGGCAAATTAGTAATCTCGATCACAGATGTTGACCTTTGTATACAAATGATTTATGTCATCTGTTGGTTCTTTACAGCAATCTTTCGAATAAGAAACTGATCAAAACGGTAAAACACTGCTTTTAGATGTTAAGGATTCCTTTTTAGGGAGGAACAATATGTGGGAAATACAGGAACTGGGGATGTGTTGCCGGGGCTTGGAGGGAGTCTTGTTTCTACATCGATCTTTGTTCCCCCTTGATCCTTGTTCACAGTTATCCTGCACCTTTGGTACATTGAAAAGGCCAGCCAACAAATTTGTATTCTTTCCTTTCTTACTGTATGAATAAAGCTGCCATTCTTTACTGAATGAATTAATAGCATTCACACTCAGCTTGGAAGTTTATTGTATACTGTTCAATTTGTATGTGGAAAATAATGCTCGGATCGTGTTTAATTTGACAAGTTTCCTGACTTTATAATCTTGTTTTCATCTTCCATTCTGTTGTGATCGAAGTATTTATTTCTACCAACGAGAGATCTCTTTGGGTGACAGACTCGTGTTCTTATTTCTGGTTTGGCTTTTATTGTGAGGCTCACAAAGAGATTGGGGGTGATATTTAAACAATAGAGTTGGTTCTATTAAAAATAATTTGGTTCTATTCCCCTCTCCCTCCCCCCTCTGAAGAATCTGTCTGTGTTGAACTAAAATTGTACCTTTTGAAAATGGCATCCATCCTCAGTCATGTGCATATTTATTAATGCTGCCCTTCTGCATCTCTCCAGGTAATGGGACTCTTAGCAAATCCTGGCGGAGTTCCTCACCAACCTCAGACTGACTATGCTCTATCGCCACTGACTGGAGGCCTGGAGCCACCCACTTCCGTCTCTGCCAGCTGTAGTCAACGGCTGGACCAGATGAAACCCCTCGATAGCTTGCCCACCTCCCAGTCTTACTGCCCACCATCTTACAGCTCATCAGGTTACAGCATGGATCCAGTCACTGGCTATCAATATGGACAATATGGGCAAAGTAAGTGCCATGTAAACCTAAGCAATACATTTAGTTATAAAAACGCCTACCCACCTCATCCTTCATCGATCTGTATTAAAATGTGCGACACAGTGTACAAACTTTGAGGATGCATGTCCAATTTCTGTGTGATATTATTCATTTTGTGTACAAATATTTTGAAATGATTTGCGAAATATATCATTCATTTATTATTTTGCCATCTACATCAGTGAAAGAGAGAGAGAGACACAGAGAGAGAGAAGAGTTAATAGAACAGAGAAGGTTAACATTTTGCTACATTTTTATCTGATAAAAATGGGCCATGCTGGGAGAAGGGTATGGAATGTTACCTTACAAGATTTCCAGGATTAATATTGCCTGTAAAAAGTATTATTACAAATGCCAGAAAGGTTGACTTTTTTTTAGCAAATTGTACTTTGCTGATAACTGAAAATGTAATGTTCTTGCCGTGTACTGATCATTTTTGGATAGAACACTACCTGTTGGATTAATACAGCCCAGATCAGGTTTTCTTTTGCTCTAATCAATAATCAGCTACAATGAACATATTTTATCCTATAGCTGTAATCATCTTTTTTTAATAGGATGCAGTGAGCTGATACTTTCATCAGCTAATGTTATCTGGGCCATGTTTTTTCAGTTATTAAAAAAAACACTAACTACTGTAGTTATTTTAAGAAGACATCCTAGTTTTTAATCTTTTTTTTAGAAATACTCACTTTGAATAAAGCTTAGACAACATCATCTTCTATTCATTTGTAACTTGGAGTAATTGAATTTCTGTTTTTGGTTGGCAAATGAGCCCATTATTTTGTATTCTTAACTTTCACTTTGACCTGCACTCTTACTTGAGTGAGCTACATTATATTATAATTCAGCAACACCAATTCTATTCACAATGATGATTTGATATTCATTGCATCTTACATATATTTGCACATTCATTATATACTTTGCAAAGTCTGGGAAATAGTAACCCCCTGTACATGTATACTGCAAATGATTCTTGAGCATCTGTTGATAAATACTGTATTTCCTTTCCTGCGGGTTTGAGGCCAATTTTTTGTTCCACAATTGACGAGCTAAGCAAATCTGTGTTTGCAATCACACTACTAATGCTGGTTCAAAGGAGGGAATTAGCACAAATAGGAAAAAAAAAATCATCTTTGGCAAGAAAACTCTTTAGTCATGACGAAACGAACTGGCATGAAAAGAAACAAATTGGGTTAGATCAATCAGATAATGGGTGCAAAATATGCTGTAAAACAAGAAAATTACCATGCACTTAAATGTTTTGCTTCTTTCTAATAAAATAATCTGTCGACGGTTTGAGTTAAAGTACTATATATAATATATACATATATAATTATCTTCAGTGCTGTCAGCAGCATCTTGATGCGATTAATTGCTGAGACTTAATAGATGCTTGCCATTTACGTAGAACCTAAGGCCAAGGTCTGTCAAAAAATAAAACAGCCACTGGAATGTCACTATTAAAAACACATGTTCCAAAAAAAGGCCAAATCAGGCATCATCCTGGACAATACTCCTGGATCCGTGTGGTACTGTCAAACTTGTCCTAATATAAATAAAGTAACCCTCAGAGTTTTGGCAGGTCATGATTAGCCCTGACAACATTCTACCTGCATTTGACATGGCCCCTTGCAATGATGTTGTCACAAAGAGCATTCCTGAGTTTCTTTTACTTCCATTACAGGTGCCTTTCATTATCTGAAGCCAGATATAGCATGAGAGAAAATGTCCATAAAAAGTTGAAACAGCCCCATGTTCTGGACTCACACACATAACGGGACTATGATGCCCCACAACGGTTGGATCTGTTCCCCAGAAACAAGCCAACTCTTACCCATCTCTGATAATGGTTTTTATTTGTGATCAAATGAAGATTCCCTGGTTTCAAAGATTTGGTTAAAAGATTACTTTTGTTGCCTTAGAAAGCTGACGGTTCTTGTACAGAAAGAAAACGGGGATAAATTAATTTGCATTTTATAACCCACAAGTACAAAAAAGCACTTGTGGCAAAAATCAGAGGCTAAACCGCAAATGATAAGTGAGAAATTTTATTTTGTCACAAAAATGAACCGTGCGTTGAAGGATTCAGCTGTATTTGAATTGATTTGGGAACATTTTATGAGTGAATGTTAATTCGAGTAAGTTCTCAAAAGGATAATTTTCACAGAAGAATTCCAATTCAAAATATTCTGTTTACTTCGGTGTAAAGATACCTGCAGAATATTTTGCCACATTTTACTTGGCTTGCAGATTCTGCTTATTGGGATCATATCCACTGCATTGTAGACATCTATGAGTAGAAATTCCAACTTGGTCTACATTTACTCCGTTACTGTAGCATTTCAGAGCACAAAGAATTTGTCAAAATCTTAAATTCAGTCTTTCATTTTCAAGATTTTTTAAAAAAACTACAGAAAATGGGCTTCAAAGTTCAAAACTGAATGAACAACTTGCCAAATTTTGCATGCACCGAAATGCTACATTAATAGAGTAAATTAAATCTAGGTGGAATTTCTAGGCATTGGTCCATAAATTTCAGGCCCCAAATCTTACGTAGTCTCTTAGTCTGTAAGTCCATTCTGTCTTAAAAGGGCACAGAATTGTTGAAAGTTCTTCAATTGAGTCTTAATTTGGAAGCCAATCTCCCCAGTCGTAAATTAAAACTGAATCTGAATAATTTCCATAGTTCTGCAACATCTAAAATATTAAGATAAAATAATGTTACAGGCTAAGACTAGGTGGAATTTCAGGCCTGTCATTCAGGTTGCCGAGATCATAAATAATGCTCCGTTATTCACCAATGGCTCATTGATTCTCACTAAACCGTGACACTATGTGGCTTGGCTTCAAAACAAACTGAGGGCAGACGCCACTGATAATTTGAAGGGTTGCTAACCACATTGATATGGGAACACAAACTACTACATACAAATAATGCGATTTCAAGTACATAATAATATAAGAAAGGTAACATAAACCAACCATTATCTTTCCCTTTATCTGGATAGTTACCACAACAATGACTCTGGTTTCTGATCTGCAAATGAATTTCCGAATTACCTATACAAATTGTTTCAGTAATATAAAAGAAGGGCTATTGCCTTAGTGAAGAACTATTTTAAGGTTCCATATTTAGGTACATTATCAGTGTATTCAGTGCAAAATGAACAAGAACAAATTTATTCCAGCTTTAGTGATGAAACAGCAATGTGCAATATTATGTACTTCTGTGTCTACCATGGTATTTCTTGAGAAGTATTATCCTGTATTCTATTTTTTCCTTGACATCATTGTGAATTCTTGTAATTTAATTGGTTGACTATATAAAATGTTTACCGGCAGGTGTTTTAGGCATTGTTAAGAATCAATAAAGTGCTGTGCAAGATATACATTCCACTTGATATTGTAGATAAACCCTCAGCGAAAATCTGATATGTAGAAACGGTATGTGAAATGTTTGTATACACAGATTTGAAGATCATGTCTTATTTTGGTAAGACCAGAGGATGGAATGTGCAGGCAGCAGACTTCAGGAAACATATTGAAGGACTGCTACACTCTTTCTGTCTAAGTACTAATTGTACAGTGGGAATTTGCAAATAGCTCACGGCACAAATTTTCACAACGTATGATTTCAGAATCTCACAGAAAGTTTGGTAGCCGATTTTTTTAATGCCTCTCGGGGTTTGCTGTAACATTTTCCATGACTTTGTCCATAAACTTAATTATGATTATAATATCGATCAGTTAATTTGTTGCATTGTGGCGTAGACACTCATAGAAGATATTATTTATTCCTATATATTCAGCTATTTTAGAATTTAGCATGCAGCTCACAATACGTACATTCTTGCTTAGCATGTAGAGACAAGTTTAGATAATTACTGCCACTAAGTACAATGATGTAGATGATGTGACCTATTCTGTCACATGCTGAACTTAAAAGGTGATGGAACTGAACATCTTCTGCAAATATCTGTTATTCCAACCTCCTGATTGTCATTTGACTGCCAAGTACAGCATTGATGTAAAGATTCTCTTTCCTGTACAAACACAGTGAATATTTACTATTTATAAAAAATAAAGTTAAGAAAACCACTGCATTGTTTTACTTTTCTGAACACACATAGATCAATAGATTTTGGCTTATGCTTCGCATAGTGCCATTTATGTACTTATAAATGATGAAAACTGGAAAAGCAAAGTACAGAACAGCAGTAATTCCTTTCAATGGGAACATTTACTGATTGCTGATTTTAACCAATCTTTTCACTCTGCTTCTATAATGGATTTTTCCATGACAAAAACCTGGTGGAGGGAATTGCTATTTTAGCAATCAGTGAAAGATAAGATGCAATAACATTCCCTTCGATAGCCATTCGAAAATAAAATTGCAGCCAGCATTTTCGGATACCTTATTAATAAGGATATCATAAGCAACGCATGTATGTTGGAGGCCATGGAGAATACCACAGTGTGGAGTTGCTGTGCTGTACTTTTATGACTGATATTTTATAGCAAGTTAATAAAGAGGTCTTCCATTTCCCATGTTTGATTACTTGTGGTGCAATGGACTCTGATACATGTATCCATGCATTTAACTGGTAAACTGAACACAACATTAATGCATCTGGAAAATCACAATCTCAGTGTAATTCAATGCAGTTCACAAAGGCAATTTCAAGATGAACCACTTTGCAAGAAAATCTCTATACATTATGCCACTAATAAGCTGTGACTGGGGTTCCTGGCCAACAATCCTCCAAATGTATTGGTCATTTACCTCATGGCCATTTGTGATATATATGTAGCTGTCTCGTTACGCCTACAGAAACAGTCACTACGGTTGACAGGAATTACATTTGAAGAGCTGTATGGGACATTCTGATGTGATAAGGTGCTATGAAAATGCAAGTTTTCTCTGTCTTGACTTAAATTGGTCATCAATGTCCTGTCACAATACAAATAATAATTGTAAGCATTTGCAAATGAAAAGGTCGTTCTTTAGAATGAGCTGAATCATCAGTTTACATCTGTTTGTTCATTATCGTTTTCTAAAATCAGCTATAATTTAGCCCATTGCAATGAATGAAACATGAGACTCATGGTAAAGAAGACTAAGTTTTCAAGAAGGCACTGTACATAGGCTCCTTGCAATTATAGTCTTAAATTGCATTTCACGGTAATATTTTTGATTACATTCTCTGAACCACATTTTTGTGTAAATGGTAGTGAATTTTTTNAAATCATTAAATAAAACTGTTATTGATTGCTTCCATTGAACTGAACTTTACTACCAGAATTTGACACCAAGTAAGGCATGTCAAACATCATTAGATTCAGACTGAAACTCCTTTATAACCATGTTTTAGAATCCTGTCGAATTCTTACAACAAAACATTGAAAAATACACATCATTCCCTGATTTAGCTTCACTTCCAAGTTTATCACGTACTTTTTTAACTTTGAAGTGGTAAAGAAAACATTCGATCCTTAAATGCTATCCATAACTCCCCATATTTGTTTAATCCTCTTCAAAACTCTTGCACCCATGTTTTGCCTTTCTGTGCTCCTCCTCAAGCCACAGCTGAAAGGGCAGCAAGGTGAGTCGCTCTGAGGTTTCTATCATTGGAGCTTTGAAACTGACTGGAAGAGGATGAGTGAAATTGTCCACAAAACCCCGTGGTCTCTTATCATATAAAGGAAGGTAAGATTGGTATTTCATTGTGTGTAGAAAGAATCAGGTGTCACACCACTCTACAGTATCAGGGGCTGCTATTTCAACACATTGGGTGCCTTTTGGACAAAAGTTCAATGTCTAATATTAGTGCAAGAGTTTTTTTGTACAGTAGCAGTTTTCTACTCCTCCCTCACCATCATGTGTCAGCCCAGATGATGAGAGGTAGTAAGCTACGCAACCACTGATGGCATCACAGAAGAGCTTGGTTATGTTATCACCAAGAGCTCTGACTGATTCGATTCACTAACTGGGTGGAGGAGGAGGAGTCTGAAGGTCAATTGTCACTATTGGCCTGGCTGAGATGAACTAATTTAGTCTGGATCATTAATCAATGATCCGAAGACCTGTGACATTCTACCTTGAGGGTAAGCCAAGCCTATCTTGGTCAAGCTCCACAGGGCTCTGGATAAGTTGCACCTGAAGTACTGTGTACAGTTCTGGTCACTACAATATAAAACGGCTGCCCGGTCATGAGAAGCCTTGTACAGGAGTGTAACCAGATATCCCCAATGTTAAAGGAATGAGGTATGTTAGGAAAACGGTTAACGCTGCAATGGGAGGACAGTAAAGTTGGTATCCTGGAAGGATGACATCAGATGGATTGAAGGGCCTTCTTCATCCCAACCCCTTTGTGATCTTGTGACTGGCAAGCAGGTACTTCACTTTAAAATGGATTCAAAACACAGTGGATTGCCCATCATGTGTAGCAGTGCAGATGAGTCATTAGCAACACAATAGAGGAACCCTTCTGTGAGCCTGACAACGATTCTTGCTTTGGAGGGGGGGAAAAAAATGGCTGAACAGGAAGTAGACGGGCTCAGAAAGCTGGCCGGGGAAAACAAAGAAATGTTTAAACAAATACATTCACCTTTATTATAATAGGGCAGCCCATAGAGAAAGGGGACTGTTTCATATTTTAATATAAAATAGGTTAGTGCCCCTTGAAGTTGGAAAGGTGATCCCCTTTGACTCCAAATGGGGGGGAGCCATGACAACAGGCTCCAATCACTCAACCACATAGTTGGTATAAAAATAGAAGAAAACAATAGTTTGCTCTCTCTGTATGACAGTCACATCACTCCACAAAACCAGGGCGGGAGGGGAATATAGAGCACGGTACTTAACTGAGCACAGTCATGTCAAACCATATAGAGGGAGAAGAGAGCAGTGTTCAGTGGAAGAGTCACTTGCTTTATACTATGGCTACTTCTTGTTCTTGTTAGAGAAAATGTACTTAGTTACGTGACGAGGAGTGTGATGCGATATTGTGCATAACTCACTAAGAGTAATTGTGGGATCTAATTTATGAGATGCAAATAAACAGTTGGCATTTATAGATTTTGTTTCTCCTTCCTT